TTCTCAAAGGCTGCAGTAACAATGTTTATAAAGTACTTTCTGTTTTATTTGACAACAAAAAGTATGTCTATGTTTTTCCTCATTTTCCTTCATTTTCTCTCTTCCTCCTTCCCTTCTCCTGCTTTCTTTCTAATCATGATGATTCTAAGGAAGAGATTTAGAGTACGGTAATCTGAGGTCTTGGGCATCTCAAGTTCCCGAGACCAAGGCAGACGCATGGGCTAATCTGCCTTCAGGTTGTTGCTTTACTAGATATATATATATATATTTAGACTTTACATTGACAGATTTGTCTTTACTTTCTATGTTGCAACGGGAATAGTAATCTAAAGGTTGTCTTCAAGACAAAAGACAATAAAAACAGCCCAATAAAATGTCTAGTTATCTTAAAACAAACCACGCTTAATTTTTTTTTGGTATTCAAAAATAATAAAATGAATGGAAGGGTTTATTATGCACCAGCAGCAACTCAGAATGACAGGCTGACACTTCTAAGTGTCAGCGGCTGTCACTCAGCATAGTCATCACTGAACTCTAAAGGGGAGGTGACAGATCTGGAAGGCAGTGTGGGGAATCCCTCCTTGCTGAAGGCCTTGCGGACACTTAGAAGTCAACCTAGTATGACAGAAACATGAGCTGTGAGCTCCTATTATTACCCCTGACTTTTTAGTTGCCACTGGATATGGGGCAGAAGATTGTGAAGGGCTAGATGAATCACTCGTCAAGCGGCGGCCCCCACCTAAAATAAGAAGCAGTTGAAGGAAGTGCTTTAATTGAGCCCTTTGATGTCCGCAGCAAACAGATGAGGAGCCTGGAAGGAGCCCAGGACCACCTCTCAATGACAGACAGGTTTCAAATATGGAAAGGATGGGGCAACAGAAGTGTAATCTTCCCCTACTGTTGGGGATGCTGTAAGTAAAAAAACAAACAAAAACCTCCAATATATGCTGCTGTATCCCACAGAGATGCAAACAGCGCCAGGGTGTCTCACAAAGCTGGTCTCTGGGCACTGCAGAAATCCATTCATTTCAGAGTCATGATAAAATAAATGGCTACGAGTAATCGTGTTTAGCCCGTCTAAAATGGTCAGGGCTCAGAGTTGAACACACTTCTCATTAAAATGTTTATCTCTGTGTATTTCCACCCTCAGTGAGGACATTTCTGAGAACCGAGCTGAAACTTCAGTCATACTTATAGCCATAAAATGAGCGGGTAACGTTCACTAGTATTTGTTTCAGACTCGGGATCCTATGACCCTTTTCTTTCTAATAGGACAGACAGACCCTGAAACTGCCAAGCACTTAAAAAAGAGCTGCTGATCTTGGCCTGGTGTCAGGCGATGCTGGATGTTCCTCATCTATTTTGTGTCTGAACTTCTAAACTTAACATTCTGTTCTCACCTGGCACACAGAGAAAGCAAGTCACGAAGGAACACCTGAGCATTCTCCTGAAGCAATCAGCTTCTTAGCAATCCAAAATCAATGGTCAGAGGGCACCTTCCTTGTGGAAGCTAATTTTCCTCCTTTAGTTCTCCTGAAGTCCTTCTATGCAGGAAAGTTACGTCTATGGGAGTGTGCAAATGCGTGTGCACATGTGTGTGGACATGCATGCCACTGATTACCAGTGCTCATCTTCCCTTGCTCTCTCCACGTTTACGCTGTCTCTCACTGACCCTGAAGCTTAGTTGTCAATTAGCCTAGAATGACGGCCAATGTGCTTCAGTGATCTGCCTGCCTTTCTCTAGACCCCTCTATTCCCCCCAGCTCTGGCACTGTAGGTGTATGTCACCATTCCTGGCTTTTGAGTGGGTGCTGGGGATCAGCGCAGCTCTCTTCCCCAGCCCCAAGGTGTTTCTGGGAAATATGAACGCTGTGCTTTGAGGGGAAATAGGTTTTTCACTATAGCCATGTGCCCTGGAGGCTGACCAGCCTGGGTGAATCTTCCCCAACTGCTGCTCCCAAATCTCCTTTCTCTCCCCATAGTCACATTCACAAAAGAAACTAAGGGAGTCCTTCTCCTTACTCTGACCAAGGGAAAAAAAAACAATGATTTGGTAAAAGGAGGAGGTTGCGCACTACTTGTTAAGCAAGGTCTGATGTGTCCAAGACAACTAGAGACAATGGCGCCTACCTTCTCCCAGAAGTAGACAGCAATGCTTTGACTTCTCTCTGCTCTTCTCTAAACTTGAAGCAATTGTCTGGAGGAGCCAAGACTTTTAATAGAAACCAAGCTTTTCTTAAAGTCTTAATGCTGTTTGAAATTTTGAAAGCACCGATTGTGTAAGTGCAGCTGGCAGAAGAGACTTCAGCTAAGGCAGACAGTGTCTTTCAAAAAGGAAAAAGTATTTATTAATGCGAAGAGTGACAGAAAGGGAATAGTGAAGGACCGTGGACCTTAGGGACTTAAGTGTGGAGTCCAGCTGGCTAGGTCAGGCTGGGTTCCCCCAGACCAACTCTCTGCACTTGACTAGGGCAACACTGTATTGTTCTGAGGGAAGAACTCACCTTAAACTGTACAGTGGTGGTATGTGTTTAGAAAGAAAGAAAATCTTTCAAGATTTGGATTGCAATTAATGATTTTAAAGCAGAATGGCTAACAAAGTACCTTTCCACATAAGTGACGGGGAAGGGGAGCATGGTAAGCAGTTCAGTAGTGGGGGTGGGGAGTGTGGGGAGCAGTTCGGCAGTGCCAAGGCCGTGAAGCCCTGCTGGGACAGCCTATGAATCACAGCCATCAGTGACATCCTACAGGGCTGCTACAGACACAACAGCCATGCAATAGATCATTTGCTATTGGAACGCCTGTATTAGAACGCAATCACAAACATGTGTTCTTTGTCTGCACCAAGTATGCTTTATAAATGTTGGCTGAGGACCCTGGCTAACGTGTAGATTTGATTTACTGCATTAAGACTACTTATTATGAATTTTGAGAATGGCTGCATTCAGAAGAAACTACCCCAAATTACGTAACTTTTCATAATTACTTTGAACTGAAAGTAGGTGAGACTCGAAACCAATGCTTTTCTGACTTCCCCCTATCCTTCCCTGCTCCCTCTCTCATGAAGCCACCAGACCAGTGTTCCCAGTCCCAAAGGCAAGCCAGAGAAGCTGGAATGCCTCTCCCACAAAACACGCCATAAAACTCTAAAAAGTTCTCCCTTTCCTTCGAAGGCACCAAGCATGCTGAGTAGAGAGACAAAAGCACATCTGGACAGACAGGTTCCCTGCCGTTCCCCTCAGCTGCTTGCCTCCCATCACACCCTTCGTTCAGCACTGATGTAAGCCTATCCATTATTTATCAAACTGAAGCAAAAAAGAAAAAAAAGAGACGTGTTCATAGCCTTCTACGTATGCTCCAGTGTCACCAAACACTGCAGAAAATTCTTACACTTTTCTTTTGTGGACCGTACTTTTGTTAGAGATTCCCAGCCACAAGCTCTATGATGGATGGAGAGAGGCAGTGCATCTGGCCGCCTTTACAGTGAATAAAAGAATACAATGAATAAATACAATGAATAAAAAATAGGAAAAAGAACCTATGGGACACCTGCTACTTTAAGCTCTAGAATCCATTTGGTTTGTATTCTTCCTTGAGTTACAAGAGTCTGGGCCACTTTACAGAGATAGCCCTCCTCAGAGAGAAGTCACCAGGAGCAACTGCAGCCATCACGTGGAAAACCGTGAACGTAGCCATAGTTGCTGAACTAATTCCTATGGATGTTTAAAAAATATATTATTTTTTCTTTCTATGTCCTCTTTCCTCCCCATTCTATTCCTTTGCACTGAGGTATCTGAAGATTTATGAGGACAGGTGAAGATGAGAGGAACTATGGAAAAGAGAAATACGAAACACTAGCAACAAATTGTGTGTCTAATGGAGATCTACTTACATCAATTCTACATTATATATGTCTATTACTATCTATTATGTATATCTATATATAATATATATATAATAATACACATATACTATTTACCCAGGTATAAGGGTATATTTTCTTTTCACATGGAGCAATAAGTATGTTATACTTTGCACTGTTATCAGATTTAAAACCCACAAACCATCATATCATGCCATCCAAATACCAACTTATCACAAAGGCCATGGTTGCCCTCTGTATAACCAAAGAGCCAATCAATGGTCATCCATTCAAATTAATCAAAGTATCTACTTTTCTCTTTGTTTTTGTTCTTTATTTCATAATGTCTTATTCTAGTGACATTATCTGCTTCACTAAGAAGACTTCAAGACACTGAGGAATCCCTAGTGCCCTACCCAGGGCAGGACTTACTAAATATGTATGAAGAAAGTTTGCTATTGTGTGTTTCAGCTCTAGGCCCAGCCTTGTAACTCCACACATTTCGGACACTTCCCTAGAACACACAGCAACCTGTCTGTCCACTTTAACAAGACACACCGCCTCTGCCTTTAGAGAAAGGCTCCAGCTCTTGACGGCAATGGAGCTATCATACAGCATCTCAAAGTAAGTTAAAAACTCTCACGGGCCCACTATTAAATATTAATTCAGATATAGAAAGTATTAATGGTTGATGTTGTCAACATTGCTTAAAAATGAAAATGCTAAGGATATGAATGAAGTTATTGGGAACGGCGTATTAAAGCAGAGGATGCTGTTAAAGCTGCCAGACCTAAATACAAGTTCACCCCACACATCAAGACAAACGAGAGGAGAAATAAAAAACAGCAACAGAGGATTGCCTTTTTCAAAGGAGGTGAAAGAATATCAAACAGCCACGTGAGCGACTGAAAGACGGTTATTAAAATAGTTTACATTTCAACGACGGTTTCAAAGTAATGGGAAAATTTTCTCATGGTTTCATTTCTGACATTTCCTTACCTCAGACAAAATGCTTTCTTTTTCAACATTATGATTTACTCATAAACCGAAATCTTAAAAAATTTATGACTGGGGTTAGCATCGTGATCCTCAGTAATAGCATGGCAAATGGTATCGGCACAAAGGCTTAACCTCTTACCGTCAAATCCATCTTCCTCTGACCCCAGCTCATCGTCTGAGCAGATGTTGAGGACGTTGACCAGCATCTCAGTCACTGCAGCCAGACAGGGAAGAAAGGGAAGACAGTCCAGTCAGACCTTTGCCGCGCTGCCATTGCTCACTAGTGAACCGTGCAACAGCGCGCGTAGGTGAGCCATTTTATGCTTCCATCCTTACCCACGCATCTGGATCTGCAACTGCCATTATCCATCATAAATGGAGACTCGCTGTTTGATTCCAGTACGCTTTTGAACATTAAATTATTATTTCGTCTTTATGAAACCTCCTACCAATACTTATTAAATATTGGTCAACAGAAAGTGGGGGAAAAACAAATACTGGATGTGAGGATCCTAAAAATCTACAAGGGAGAAAAGAACTGTCTTGGGACTTTGCATTTATTTCCACAGTGAAGCTGCGCGATCTAGATTAGATTACAGACTTCTGTTCATCAGGTACTGAGCGAATGCCAGGTTCCTTTTTGTTAATTTGTCTAATCCTCTATAGAATTCAGCTTCGTGATAGGTGAGTAGCTTTGCATTTAATAAAAACTGCTGATGGATGAGCTAATGCATCTCAAGTAGATTTGGGAATATTGATCTGCAGAAATAAATATGTTGGCAGAAATATCAATACATTTAGTTTCCAAAAAGTCTCAAAGATACTTTGAGATGAACTAGAATTTAGCAAAGTAAGTGGACGGTAATAGGTTTATAGACCAACAACGTGCACACTATTACGTTTAATATTTTTTGACACTTGCTTGGGTTTTATCAAGATGTTCATGAGAGACCCACACATCATCAGAAACTGTCTTTAAGGTTACGTCGCATTTCAAGAAATAGTTGTTTTGAACCAAAGACCCAGGGTGAGACACCATGTCAGTGGTGCAGACATTAATCTAGAGTTCAATTGTCAAAGCTGAGCTACATTTTCCAACATACCACTGTAGGCTTTTACAAAGACTATGGTCAAAACTTAAACAATGAACGGAAAGCACCCACCTAAAGGGTGTTTTGTCATGCCTAGTAGTTGTCAGTTTCCAGGCTGTCTGAGTATCCACAGCAGGCAACAGCTGAGCCTGTCTGCATGCTGGGACTGATCAGTCCAGGAACCTGGAGCATGGAGTCTCACAGAGGGGAGGGACACGGTCACAAGGCACCTGCGATTTACTTGGGCTTAAGGGAAAACCTTCTTCGCTGAAAACTCATCGCTTGCCTTGTGGAAATATTATCAGGTATTTAAATTTCAAAAAATCCCCCACAAGTCTTGCAGCTTTTCTCTAAAACTGTATCTGAAGCGCATGGAAACTATCTTCATATACTGTCATGGCCTTCTTCTGGACCACATGGGAAAATGTGTGAGGAATAAATCAGTGTGTCAGGTAGGCCTCCTGGCTACAGCTCAGGGGCTCCTGGCTTTTGCATATTTACCTATATGTATATAGCTATATCTGAGGAAGGGACCTGGTCAATCGTCCTCATCAACTTAGATCATAAAACCCAATATGAACAAGTTCAACAAAACCGCCATATATGGGCTGTCTATGAATGCTTCAGTATTGCCAGGGCATAAATTTCATTTTTTTTTCCCATACAGCTGTATCTACAATCATCAATTGATAGATTTCTTTTTCTTTTTCTGCTGATGTTTGGAGTAAAATATGAAAATATGAAAAAGAAATGAGCTAATAAGAGAAGATGGTAGAAAGAGAGGCATGGAGGAACAGAGCAGCCCAATTCTGAAATATTGGTGCAAGTCAGCCAATAGGTAACTCTTTAAATGCAAATATCTCCTGTTGGAGTAGCACACTAGGGGATGCCCTGCTAGTCAGAAGTCTGGGTCTGCTGCTTTACCTACTGTCCTTGAGATGCCACAGGCACTAGTCAGTGCCATGCAATCATGAACAAGGAAAGCAGGACTACCCTAATTAGTGACAATAAAACATGACTTTGAGACTACAGTTCCAAAGAGTAAGAAGGAAAGAAAGACTTGAGACCAGATCCCACTTTACGTCCACTGTTTCAGAGAGTGTTATTGCTCAGCTGGGGCTGTGGACACACTGCATATTCTTGATCCCCCTGAATCCACTCAGGGCATCACGTCACCAGGCCAGGGCACGCCATCACAGCCCTCCTCCCACGGTACAGACTGTGAATGCTATTGGTTAGAACGCACCATTTTGCTCTGCATGTTCCTGGTGACACAGAACGCAGGTCTCTTCCCCTGCCCCTCCCCCCAGGATATCTTTCTAAGAGTTCTGAGGACCTGACAGCGTACCTTTCTCCCCAACAAATGGCAGCGACCAGGTGAAGACATCCATGAAATTCGGGAGCCAGTACGGGTGGGGAGAACAGTTGAACTGCCTGATGTTCATCACGTTGTTCTCGTACTTCAACACTGCCGCTGAAATCAAAACAACACGGGAGGACGTCAGAGCTAGCGCAGTGCTGGGTTAAGAGGAGCGGCTTTAGTCGACCAAGACAGATCAACTATTTGAACGAAGTTCGAAACCAGGAGGACAAATGGCCTCATCAGCCCGGATTTCCTGATTTATAAACTTTAGCCTTACTTAGAGGAAGCTACTGTGTGTGCAATGTGTGAATAGTAATTTGAAATGACATTATCGTTTGGAAAATATCTCTGCAATGTAGTTAATTAATTACCAGGAATCAGATAAATAGCCTCCTGCCTTCAGGAACATTCTAGTCTTACTACCTGATGGTAAGAAAAAGGGGGCAATGCTAGGTGGATCTGACATAATTTAGTAATCGCCCCCCCCCTCACAATAGCATACCATTTCCCCCAGTAACAATCATAATGGTTATATTAATCAGCATAAATTACACCACATGTATATTAAATACAGTAAGATATTTGGATTTAATGCCATATAAAATAACAAAGTGTTGACTCAAGCCTTGACTACAGATCACAGAACAGAAGTCTTTAAACATCTATTAAACGCCTTCATTGCATTTTCCCAGCAATGCAGAGTCTCTTAGACAATACTCTCCTTAACATAGCAATGCTTCCAAAATTCATAACTCATTTGGAACGTTTCCTGTCGTAGATTTCTATGAAATCCATGCCCTTTGCCGGGGTCTGCCCTCTCAGTGGAACCCTTCGTGGGTCCCTTTGATAGATAGATCATGTCTCTTCCTTGAATTCTAGAGGCTAGACTTACACACAGATGCCAGAGAACTTTGATAAGGGTCAAACTACATATATGTATCTGTTTGACACCCCCACCATTTTAAAAGACAGGTACCCTAAAATAGGCTTTAGGTTTTCTTGTCTCCTCTCAGACTTGATCCGAGAGGCTGAAACAAATCCTCCTAACCCTTCTACAACATTCCAGAAACGGCCCCTCATTCTTTTGGTCTCCTTCACGTAAGACTTTTCATCCTATCCTGGATCTGGATGCATGTCAGATGGCCAAGGAACTGAAAGTGTGACTCAGGACTAACAGTCTTTTCAGGAGGCATGATGAGTGCCTGGATTCAGGAAACACACATCTTTCCGTGGTAGGATTTGCCTACTGTAAGCATTAGGCTGCATTTTAAGGACGCTGAGGCTTTTTATAGCAACTTGCAGTTAACTTGTATTTGTGTGCAAGGAGGCTTTTGCTTTGAATTATAGACCTAGTTGATTAATATGGCTCCAGAAAACATAGAATCAAGCACTTTGGGAACACAGATGGTACAGTTAGCATAGATTGGAAGGGAGCTGGAATTCTTCTGAGAGAATATGGAATTCTGCATATATTTCTGGAAATGGTCTTTTTGTTTGTCCTCTTATTTATGCAACACGCCATTTGCCAAAAGCAAAACAAAACAACCATAAAAACACCTTGGCAAATTACAGTACCAGCACTTCTGATCTTTAGGACAAAGTATTTTTAGTGTCCTACATTATTATCTGAGCATAAGATTCATGTTGAGATTTTTACAGTTTGTTACCACTGCATTTGTCTTTATATCTTCAAAAGAATCTTTGAGGGTTCAAAGCTGTGTTTTTAGTAATTGTTCCTTAACCCCCTCCCACAATTTTTTATTAACATCAGGTGGTAGTTTAGCAGCAGAAAAGAAAGAGAGGGGGGTTCGCCCTTGCTAACCATGGATTCCATATACAGGGATTCCACCAAGCCTGCCTGAAAAGGTCGGGTAAAAAGGAAAACTGTGTCAATACTGAACTTCTCTTGCCATCAGTCCCCAAGAAGCTCAGCGTGACAGCTTTTCACAGGGCACTGCCGTTGTGTCCGCTATTATGAGTGATGTAGATGATATGGCACATAAAAGATGATGTCTATGGGTTAAGGACACACTGCGCCATTTTATGTATGGGTCTTGAACATCTATGGATGGTGGTATTCCCAGAAGGTCTTGGGGTCCATTCCAAGTTGCTGCCTGAGCAACACTGCCCTGGATGGA